GACAAGGTCACAGCTCCCAGCACCTGGCCGCGAGCTTTCAGGACACCTCTAACCAGACCCACGACGTGACCCAGCTGTCCTCAGTCAACCTTGGCAAAGATATTAATATCTATCTTGATTCAAAAGAGAAAGAGCTCGTTGGCCTAACTTTTCTTTCACTATGTTGCTATGATTGTTCTATTATATTAGTCATTGATCTCTCACTGTGCCTAATTTACAGATTAAATGTTACTGTACGTGTGAATAGGTAGGAAAAATCATGTGAACTGCAGGGCTCACCATTATCTGTGGTTTCAGGCACCTGTTGGGGTTCTTGGAATGCACCCCACAGGATAGTGGGGGGTGACTGTAAATGTCAGATTGTGGTCTAGGCAGGAGGAGCAAGTCACTGAGACCACAGGCCGTGGCCCACTGAGTGATGTGTTAGTTGAATAGCTAATTGGATACCAGGGTCTTGTTCTGTAACCTAGAACTACCATTTCCAAATTCTCCTCCCCCTGTCTCTTCCTGGCTCTTGGAGAAAGCGCCATTCCCTGTCTGGACGAGTGACCTTCAGAGCTGCCTTAGGGACCATTCCTGAGTAATGCCTGTTCCCAGTGTCAGACCCCCTCCTTCCTTCACTCACCTGGTTTCCTTGAAGCAGACCAGGCAGGGAGGCCCGCGGGGGCGGCTGGTCAGCAGGGTGTGTCTGGGGATTCTCTGGAGGTCCTGTTTGTCCATTGGAGGTGGAGTGGCCGAACTGGGATGGGTTGCCAGTCCCTCCTGCGAGACCTGGGAGTCCCGTCTTGGAGCGCCTGCAGCCACTGTGGGTGAAGCTCAGCACCTCACAAACAGCCCTGGCGCAGACACCCAGCAGGGACAGCCAGTTCTCCGTGCCACGTTGCTCTTGGTAGCCTCTTGGGACACCTCTGCAAGTCTTTCGTGTGTACTGTGTGGGGAAACGGCTTCCATGGCCAACCAAGAGGGAGAAAATTGGGGTCACGAAGCTTAGAGGGGCTCTCCTTGTTGCCCATGCTCTGCGCCCCACATGCGTGAGCTGAGCCTGGTGTCCCAGGGAGGGAGGTGGAGTCTACTCTGGCTGCACATTCGGAGCTGGCAGGCCCTGGGACCTGCTTGAAGAGACGCTGCTGCGTGTGCCTCCCACCTGTCACCTGACGATGGGGATGGACTCCGTGTAGGTCCCTGGAGATGCGAATGGCAGGGGGAGGTTGGTGAAGAGGGCTCAGTGACGTGTGCACCGGCAGCTGCCCCGTGTCCGGGCATCGTTCTGCAGTTTTGCCATGAGCCCTGGTCCCACCAGGCAGCTCCTGCCAGTCTGTTAACAGTGTTGCTGGTGTTGCCAGATCAATGTGATAGAAGGAAAATCTCCCTGAGGAACCGGAAGATCCTCAACTCTTCCATCAGGATGTTTAAAAGGAACACAATTTTATTTTATCAACAGTTCAGGGGTTCAGAGGTCAGGGGTGGCCTGGGGAGCTTGGCAGAATCAGGCCACATGGCCTGGGTCTCTGGCCAGCACAGGTGCTGCCTGCTGGTCTGGCAGGAGGAGTCACCTCCCCACCCCACCTGGGCGAGGTCAGAGGCCTGGGAGGGGCCCTGGCCCAGAACAAAGTGCTCTCGACTTCAGAAGAGAATGGCTGGTTCTATGTGAGAGCCTCTGGGCCACAGGGCAGGCCGTCCTCAGTGAATGAGGACCAGAGGAAGGCATCTGTGTGCAGTCGCACCTGTGCAGGTGCCCCGTCCCTCACCGGCTGGGGCCCGGGGTGGGAGAGGCCACCCAAGACTCACCTGGGCCCAGGGAGGGGAGCCCTGTGTGGTGGGAGCCTTTCAGCTTTTGTCTGAGTTACTGAACCCGGTGGCCCTTAGACCAAGGGTGAGCGCGTGGGTGCGTATCAGTGGAGCAGGGAGAGAGGGGAGGCAGGAGGCTGTCCTGTGCCCTGGGAGGGAGCCTCAGGACGCTCAGTGTCTGCTCCTCGGTCGCCCTCCCTCCTCTGCGAGGCCTTCACTCTGTCCCTCCCTCCCTCTCTGTCTCTGAAAGCCCTAATCACAGGGTCCTGCTCTTTGTAAACACCTAAGGACGCAGTCTGCCAAGGCCTGTGGCCCGGGGCTTTCCTTCTGCTACCCTGGGAGGAGAGTGTGGTTTTAGGGGCTGAGCGAGGTCCCTGCTGAACCAGGGGAAGCTGTCACCGTCCACATGGCCTGGCTGGGGGCCTCCCAGGCCATCCTGCGTGTAGAGGTGCCTGCTCTCAGGTACTGTGGTGTGGACCGGGCAGGGGCCAGTTTCCTTTTAAAGATATCCTATTTAGTAGCTGCCCACCCAGAGCAGCAGGGCAGTGAGCTGAGAGGTCAGGGCAGCTCTGAGAGGTCAGACTGGCTTTGAGGCCATGACCGCGCTGTGCCTGCCCGGCAGGCCTCTCGCCCCCTTTCCTCAGGAGCAGTTCCCTTTAAGGACCGACTTCCCTCCACAGGGAAATTCCTGAAACCGACAGTTGACAAACCCACACACCCTCCGGAGGGCTGGGCACCAGATAAAAGCCCTCTGCGGAGCCCAGCCCCTCCTGGGGACTGTGCGGGACCCAGCAGAGCGCCAGGACCAGCCACAGCATCCCGGAGCCCAGCAGAGTGGGGACCTGTCTCGGAGACCCCCAGCAGAGCATGGGACTTGGTCTGAGTTGCTGGCAGAGTTCAGGGACCTGCTGGGATTCCGCAGAGCAGGAGCCTGCCCAGGTCGAGCCTGCCCAGGTCGCCGGCACGCACGTCCTGAAGGCTGGGAGTCTGCAGCCGGGGAAAACTGGTTTTCTACGTTTTTCTGGTTTGTGCTCAGCTCCCTGCTGAAGGATCTATTTCTGTCTTTCCTTTGGGGAAATGCAGATTTGCCAATGACTAATCACAACCCTGCTGAGATGTTATCAGCTGTCACCTGCACAGCACGACCCAAACCCATGAGGGAAATGAAGAGATAAAGCCGGCTGCAGCCCCGACCTGCCGGCCGCCTGCCTGCTGCGGAGCAACTAAGTTTCTCCCTCGCTGCCAGGGCCACCTCTGGCTCCCTGCAGCCTGCTGGCATGTGGCCATTGCAGTGACCACCCCAAGAGCCCACGGCTGCCTGGAAGGGCTGACTGGGGCGTCTGCGGAGCTGCCTCCCTGCAGGTGGCTGGAGCCCTGGATGGAGCACGGGACCTGAGCCCCTCATGTCTGCCTTGCTGACACTGTGTGTGGTGCTCCTGCCCCTGGCCACCCCCGGCCGTGGCGCCCAGCGTCGGGAGCCCTGCACAGGTAAGACAGGAGTGGATGTGGGGTGGGCGCCTCCGTGGAGCTGGAGGGATGTCTGGTAGCACCTCACCTTCTAACCCGAGACAAGGTCACCGGATGTCCGAGGACGCTGACACCCTGGAGACAGGGCTGGCGGGAGGAGCCCAGGGAAGATGAAAGGCAGCGGGAGGAGGGAGCTCCTCACTGCTGCAGGGCGGGACGCCTTTCAAAGAGGCAGCAGCAGCACCAGCCTCTCGCATGTGCCTGCCTGCTTGGCCTCCCGGGAAAGGCCGTACACCTGCTTTAGGAATGAAGTGGCAGCAGCCCTGGCAGGCCTCGGGACGGGGACACCGCAGCCTGCACTTGGCAGAGCCCAGCGCTGCCACTGGGCCTGGTTCTGTCCCCACCTGAACAAGAAACGTGAAATGCAGGCACCGTCCCAAACACCCACGCCTGAGCCAAGAGCTCCCTCCTGGGGGTTCAGCTTCCCTGTGTGCAGAGCCAAGAGCACCCGGGCGGCCCTGCCAGGCCTGCAGGACTTTGTTACATCCCCGTGGACAGCTGTCTGGGCTCTCTGATGACCACAGCATCCAGGGGCCATTCCAGGATCCTCACCAAGGGAGTGCTGTCAGGCCGGAGGTGTAGAACAGGGGACAGGGCCTGGTGTGCGAATCCTGCTAGGGGCAGTGCATTGGTGACGCGAGCAGGCTGTGGTGGAGCCCAGGGAGGCCAGGGGCTGGGCCAGGGTGGCCGTGTGTGCCTGTGAGTAGTTCACCCTTGGTGGCCTTGAAGAGTCTCATCTCCTCCTCATGCAGGTTGTGTCCTCTGCTCTAAGGGCACTTGCTTCCCTGTGGCAGGACCAGAGTTTGACCCCTGTGACCCAAGTCTGGAACACTGACCTGCATGGGTAGTGGGCACAGGGTCCAGAAAGGGCCCCAGCTCTCAGGAATAGCTGGAAGTGACCATGCCAGCTGCTAGGTTGTGGACCGGGCATGAACAGGCCCAGGGGCACTGACAGAGTGTCACTGTGGTGTCAGGGACAGACAGAAGCCCCCATTCCAGGGCTCCAAGTATGTGCACCTGCCCACAGTGGCTGCCTCAAACAGGGCCCCTGGGTCCCATCGGCTCTCCATCACGCAGAGTCCCCGGGCTGCCAGTCATCGAAGGCTGAGCGCCAGCCTGTCTCCCTGCCCCATGCAGGGACCAACGCGTCCAGGCCCAGCCTCGGAGGGACCCTGTGCAGTGCCCAGCTGTAGCCATGGTGCACGGCCGTCCTCCCTGGTGGGGATGAGTCACAAACGTGTCTTTTCACGTTCCCTCTGTGCTGGGAACAGAATCAACTGCATAATAATAATAAAGGTTATTTATAAAGCCCGCCCCCGCTCCCCGGGAGGTTTGCTTCAGAGAGTTAAGAGATGACCCAGTTATAAGTACTGTGGACCAGGGAGGAAAGACAAACGCCAAGCCAATGACATGGGGCTACTTGGGAACGCTCCCAGGAGACCGTCATCATGGCCTGTGAGGGTCTTTTTAAATAGATTTTAAAGGTCACTTTGCCATGTTCAGTCTTGAAAAGCACTGAGCTTATGCCGAGACCCTGCATGTGCTCTGCGGCCCGGGTTCCAAGGTGGTGGCCCAAGTCTGTGACCATGTGTGCTGTGGAGCCGGTGGCAGATGTGCAGATCGCCGGTCCCCATGGAGCTCCGGGGTGTGCGTCCTCTGGTGCCCACGTCCCTCTCTGGAGCTGGGGAAGGGGCTGCAGCTGCACTCCCACCCCTTCCCTCCTCTCTCTTTGCTCTTGATGGCCGTGCTTCTTAGTGTTTGGTTTGCAAATAAGGTGACTGTCAGGCTGTGGGAACCTGCAGGCTGGGGTTTCCAGGTGTCCTCAACCCAGTGGGCAGCAGAGGGAAGATGTGTCCACTCCTGCACCTCAGGGAGCCTCAACGGTCAGATTGGTGCTGTTGGGGCCTGAGAGGCCCTAGATGGGAGGGACAGAAGCCTGCAGCTCCAGGAGTTCCTTTTGAGTGTTGGGGTGGAAAGAGGGTGTGCCAGTTATCCAGGAGGCCTGGCACTGAAAGGCCCCTTGCTGGACATGGGCAGCCTCCTCTGCCCAGTTTTGGGCCAGGGGCCTGGAAAGGGAGCCACAGGCAGGGGCTTGGACAAGGTCTAATCAGGACCTTGCAGGCCACCGCGGCCAGCATGTCGATGCTAGCCAGCTCAGCACTCCAGGGCCCCATGCAGCAGGGGTGTGGCCATTTGCAATGGGGGCTCCGAGGCTGAGTGTCTGATCGGTGCCTGGTGCCTGGCTCTCCAAGGGGTGGGCCCTGGGTCCCTTCTGCTCAGGTGCATGGGGAGACGTGTGTAGTCTCATCTCAGGGAGAGATGGCCCAGGTGGGCAGTCAGATGAAGGGGGAAGGATGGGTCCATCCTGTGGCTGTTGGACCAACCTTAGGTTGGAGAGTGGTTCCAGTGAGTGAGCCGATGAGCCACAGGGGCCAGGGTCTGGGAGGGGCTGACACGGAGCCCTGACAGCAGTGTTAGAGCTTAGTGTGACGTGGCCTCCTGCCCATGTGGAGGTGAGGGAATTCTGAGAGGACCATCCAGGGGTCATTGTCCAGCTGTGGGGCCTGCACAGTGAGGGGGCGTGAGACTGTGAGAGGGTGGAGGCTCAGCCCGTACAGGTTGCAGGAGGCCTTTCCCCTGCATCTCCCTGTGGTGTCCTGCAGTGAATGAGTGTTACCACAGGGACAGTCAGACATGTCCTCACCAGGGCCCAGCCGTGGGGCGGCCAGCACCTGATCTCTGGGTCATCCCTCTCTTCATGTGTCTGCCTTTGTCATTCGAGTGGTGTCCACTCAAGGAGACGCTGGCCTGCCTGCAGGGAGGCGTGTCACAGTGGAGCTGCAGCTCTGAGACCCCGTACCCTGCAGGCGGTGGCTCTGGGGGCCTGGAGGAGCCACTTGCAGGCAGGGTAGAGCGGGGGAAGGGCTTGTGTGGGCCTCGGTGGCTGAGTGCAGGGGCAGGCGTGGAGGGCAGACTGGGCCTGCATTCCCCCAGGCGCTGCTCCAGCCTCCTCTGCCAGGGCCCACCTCTGTAGCTCCTCCTGCCATTCTTCCACTGACCTGTCCTTGGGACTGCCCGGCAGGAAGGTGGGTGCTGGAGGAGTAAGTCCTGAGAGTCCTGGTCCCTGGGCAGGTCACCAGGGAGGTTCCAGGAAGACCCCGAGCCAAGGACGCCCTCTTTCGGCCAAGCATACCTTAGGCCATTTGAGTACTTCAAAGGATTTGCGGTTGGGCAGCCTGTGAGTCCTCACCAGCTGGTGGCCTGTCCACACAGTTCCTTCTGCTGGGAGCCAGGGAGGTGGGGTTTGGGACCAGTCCCACGGGGCCCTGTGGCTTTGGGTTGGCCCTGGAAGGACATGCACAGAGGGACACTCAGTGCCCACAGGGGGAGGCTAGGCAGTGCCGGAGGGACCTGGTGTCCTCTCCAGGTTTCCCCAGCGGGTGGAGGGCTGGCCCTCAGTCGCGGTCACTTAGAGCTCCCGAGAGTCCTTGGCGATCTGAGGCAGGCTGTCCAATCTACCGGCACTTCTGCCGAGGCTCAGAGACTCGGCCCTGGGCCCCAGGAGCCGGGCTGGCCCTTCACGCCGCTCCAAGCACGGAAAAGGCCCCGACCATGACGGCGCGGCTGAACCCGCCCCTCCTCGGCTGGGAGGAGCTCGGCCTGCGGAGTCTGGGGACGACTGGGGACGTGGCTTTCCACTGTGACCCTCCCGCCCGAGCCTCGCACTCCGCCTGAGGACTCCTGTCCGGCCCGCAGCGGGCGCCCCAGCCCGTACCCCACGGGTCCTCTCCCTGCTCCTTTCCGGGGTCGTGCGTCCAGTCCTCTGAAGGGCGGGCAGGGGCCTATGCTCACCGCTCGCCTTTCGTCCCACTCCTCACTTTGGCCCCAGGCGGGACTTGGTGGGGGCTCTGGTGAATCTGGTCTCAGGCCGTCTCAGCTGTGTGTGGGGTTCTGGAGGAGGAGGAGGAG